GAACTAAAAGCCTCAAACCAATTTTCGTTTTACATCAATGAAACAATATCAATTTAAAGAAATATTGAAACTTTTATATTATGAACCTTATATTTCGTAACAATACATTCATAAACAAAATTCCTTTACTATAGGAAACGATTTCAAATAATTTTTGTGTCAATAGATAACTAAAAGCTTGTTTCTGAACACATTTGGAAGGGGTTTAAAGCTTTAATCTTGGATCAGCCCCGAATCGGATTAGTTGCGAAGCAATGAACCGATTGGAATATTTCCAAAAAAAAAACTTGTTTCTCAAAAGCCCCAAAACAATTTTTGTGTCATATGATTTTTTAAAATCTTTTAAATCCATATTGTCCTTTCAAATATAATAAATTCTATTAAAATCCTTTAAAATCCAATCTTATGAAATATTGATTGTAAAAAAAGTCTTTTAAAAAAGTCTTTAAAGTCTCTTCAATTCTAAATAGTATTTTAAAATCTATAAAAAAATTTGGTTCAAAAAAGTCTTTTAAAATCATAATGCAATACACCCCCTTAATCATTTATAATTAATAAATTGATATTAGTAATTTGTTAGAAGGTCATGTTTTTTATCATATCAAATCTAAAGAAAATCTTATTGATTTAACTAATTAATATAAATAATATTTAAATAATTAACTGTAAGAGTTTCATCTTGATTCATTTTTCATTGAAGTTTTATAATATAATAATATTGTGTTGTTATATTACTGAGATAAATTTGAGTATGGTAATAGTTATCTAAGATGTTAAGCCCCCCACCAAACCCAAAAGTTCTGGTTACTCCTTCATTGTTAATTAAATGTTATTATTTTTGTCTTTAAAGTACAAATTTAACGAACTTATAAACAAAGGGCCAAACTAAAAAGACGTATGAAGGAGTAATAAAAATGTATTCTATTTCCAAAAATAAAATAAATGTATTCTGTACCTAAATAATAAAAATGTAAATGTCTATTATTAACTAACAATGTATTTATTTTATACAAAAGGAATTATAACTAACAATTTACAAAATTTAACAACTTATCCAAAATTCAACTAAGCTCATTTAAATTGGTTTATATTGCATTTAAAATAATTATAATCAAATTTTACCGTGTGTTTAAATAAATTATTTCATATTTAAAAATTTACTAATTTTTTTTCTAAAAATAATATAATTTAAACTTATTATTGGGGAAAGGTCCCCCACCCTTTAAAAGTTAACTGAAACCAAATGTGCTTCATTGTGCGGTAATTATTTCGTCCTTCCTCAAAATATCAATTCTAGCAAAAGACATATTAATCCTCAAATATAAAATTTAATAAAAGACTGTGCAAATATTTATAGGTTTAAATAAACTAAAATTTAAAACTATAAAAAGATATACGTAATTATTTCAGATAAAGTTATAAAAAATAAAAAATAAATATTTTGTGTTATTTTTTGACATAAAATAATTTAATAAATTAAATTAATTTTTAAAATTACTAATTTTTACATCGAGAGCGGATTAAAAGAAGGCTAAAATCGAGAATGCAGAGTTTCAGTGATGAGCCCAAGATGCTGGGTCCCGAATTTCATAATTCAGACTTAATTGGTAGGCCACACTAACCGAGGCCACATCCCATCCCACTCTTTTTATTTTGGGAAAAACAAATATTATGTCCTAGGATAATTCTTAGGTCATGTCACATAGATAACCAATTGTGGAGTTCATTATTTTTAAAATAAAAATAAAATAAAAGAATTAATAGACTTACTTTTGTGTAAGAAAATTGGTTGTGTCATGTAAAAAGAAAAAATATTACCCTTTTATTTTATATATTCTCATTTTGCGACCTCCGAAAAATGACTCGTGTCAAAACACTATACGACTATCTTTTCCAACCCACCCCATTGCGCGTTCTCATCACTCGTGCCTCCCAAGCCGTATGTGTTTTCACGCGCTATCATTTGCACGTGCACGACGACGACACTTCCTTGCCAACATATATGACTACATAGACCAGTGCCCGAAATTCACGCGCAGCACGTACAACCCTGATTTCCTGATAGCGCGTACTGGAGTTGCGCGTGATATTACGCTCCTTCCGAATCCGTGGGTTTCCTTGTCTTCCACTTGCACTGAAGCGGTGAAAAATATGAGTACCAGACATTTTGTGTGCGCGGCACTGCAGAGTGCACAGCCTTTTGTTTCTTTTTTTCTTCTCTGTTTTCCGTACTACGTTTGCCATGCAATAATGCAGTTCCTTGCAAATAAAAAAAGACAGGAAAAATCAGGCAAAAAAATTAAGGAGTAAAGACTCTTTTTATCCCTAATAAAAAATATTGTTCTCACTTTAGTCCTTTTCAAAAATAAATTAGTCAGTTAGTCTCTAACAAATTCAAGGTGGACCCATTTTAGTCATTTTGAGGGACTAATATGAGTCTTTTTTGAATTTATTAGGGACCACGATTTCAACTAAATGGGTCAACTTTGAATTTGTTAGGGACTAACTGACTAATTTATTTTTGTAAGGGACTAAAGTGAGGACCTTATTTTTTGTTAGAGACTAAAAATGGTATTTACTCAAAATTAATTTATTGTTTTTTAATAAAAAATTACGAATAAGTAGTCGTTTTGAAATTAATTACGAAAATATAGCAGTGAAACACGCCCCATGGGGGCGTGACCGGTTGGAGAGAGACACGCCCCATTTGGGAGTGTTTCACCAAGTACTGCCACGTGTCACAAAAGTCAACAGTTTGATCGTAAAACTTTAAAAGTCCATAACTTTTGACTCGGGTATTCGAATTAGGTATTTTTTTTTATTCCACATAATTTTTCGAGATCTGCGCAAGAACACCTCATTTGTTATATTTTGTCTCTCACAAAAAAAATTGAACTTACAATAATAATACCATAAGAACGTTTAAACTCAAATTAATAAGCAGAAAATCATTGTTATGATTAGAAACATTAATAATATCTTTATTATGATTATGGTAAATTATGATAAGGTTAATTATGTATGTTATTGAGATATGTATTAAAATTTTGAATGAAGAATTTTATGAAATTTATAATTTTATTCGGTTAACATCTGTCGGTGACAGAATATCAAATAATTTATATTAAAAAGTTAACTGAGTGCTTTTCGTTTTATTTTGATTTTTAAGTTGATTTTTATTAAAAATCTACTAATTTGAACATTTTTATAATCATGAACAAAAACTTTTATTATAAGGTAACAAAGTCATGTCATTTTTAATAATTATGGTATCATTGTTGTAAATTTAATTTTTTTTGTGAGAGACAAAATATGCCAAATGAGGTGTCATTTCGTATATCTCGAAAAGTTATGTGGAATTCAAAAAAAAAGTACCTAATTCGGATACCCGAGTCAAAAGTTATGGACTTCCAAAGTTTTACGATCAAACTGCTGACTTTTGTGACATGTGGCAGCACCTGGTGAAACACGCCCAGATGGGACGTGTCTCTCTCCTCGGTCACGTCCAGATTTGGCATGTCTCTCTCCTTGGTCACGACCAGATGGGGCATGTCTCTCTCCAACTTGGTCACGCCCCATGTGGGCGTGTTTAACTGCTATATTTTCGTAATTAATTTCAAAACGATTACATTTTCGTAATTTTTTATTAAAAAAGCAATAAATTAATTTTTTTTCCAGAAAAATTACCCTAGTATGTTTTTAATTTTTTTTTAAATTGTTTCAAGGCATCCCCTAGCCGAAAGCAAGACCTAATTCTCTCAAGGCGGAGAGATTATGTGATTGTGGGTACAGTCTTTTTCAAAAAAGTTGTTTTATACACGTCAAAGATTGAATTCCTATCAACATGTTTAAAAGATCTAACTTATCAACTATGTCTAACTTTGTTTGTCATGTTTTTAAATTGTTTACAATGATCATATTCCATAACATAATAAATACATAAAATTATACTTTATAATAAAGAATTATCAATATTATAAGATGATAATATACTAAAAGGGATTTATTTTGTCATAATTTATTTTTTAAAAATGACAAAAAGGGATTCAATCAGGATACGCTGAACAATAAAGGATTAAAAGCATTGTAAGATAACCTTCTATATAATGACGGAAAAATTTTGGTTCATTGAATCTAGCATAAGAAAAAAAAACTACTAAAATCCTCCACCACCACAGAAGTTACTCAATATTGACTACAGAAAACCATTTCAGACATTAAATCCAAAATCTAATCAGATTTTGGAACGAGATTTTATAAGTAGTCATTTAATTCTTCACACAGCACATTGCGTCGTATCATATGGCCTTTTCACTGTGTGGGGGACAAATGAAAATGATCGAGCAAGTTACTAGCTAGTTACACTAATTGCCTCAAATTTTCTTAAATAAATATTATGAGGTAGTAAAATTTAAGTGAAATTGCGTAAAAATAAAATAAAATGAGTTCGATAAAGATCTGATAATAAAGATTATATAAAATCAACAAATATGTAGACACGTGTATAACATTATTCAATATGCGAGCTGGCTACTAGCAAACAGTTCTGGTTCTGTAAGAGTGAGACTGTGATGCAACTTTTGGAAGTCCTTTCAAATACGATGGTACATTTTTCTGCAATTGTTGGTTCCCAGCTGTATTTGGACCCTTCTGGTGTCTTCTCTCGTGTTCTTTTGTCGTCCTATATTTCTAGTTTTTTTACTTTGCTGGCCGAGTTGACTACACTTAATTTTTACCTCACAACTTTCCTCCAAGCACTTTTTAATTTATCAGCCTTTAAAATGAAGCCTACTTTGCTTTCAATATTTATTTTCCCATGAAGTGACCCCAAAGTAAAATACAACCTACTTGTAATCCAAAAAAATAAAAAAAATACAACCTACTTTGCTTCTTTGTTTCTCTTCTCGTCTTGGCTTTCATAATAAGAATTAATTTATTATTTTTGTTTTCACCAACTTGTTGGCATTTTTAATTCTATAAATTCCCTTCTTGAAACACACTGAGGCCTCTTCCATTTTCGCCTCCTTTCCTATCACACTTTCTAGATAGCCATTAAGATATTTGTTGTATATCTTATGGTTCGGGATAGCTCTTGTACTGTAAGGTTTTCTTCCACATGTTATCGGTGATGTTGATCTTCAACCTCTTGCTTTCTTGAGCCTCATATCAAATACCCTTCAGATCCACCTACCTCTTCTCATCATTCTTCATTTCCTACGTCACCAAATCACTGCCAACCTTTGTTTTTCCTCTTTTTTGGATTCAACATCCATTACCCTCATAGCTAATCTTCTGATATCCGTTTTCTAGCACCAAAGTTTGAAACTTTTCTACTCTGGGTTGGAGAGTTTGACTCTGTCTGAACAGAAAGTCACCATTTTTTTCTTACCAAGTAGTAGCGATTAGAAGTGCATCTTAAATGTCCAACATCTTGTTGTTGATGTTTGAGATTCATGTATCCGATTCTCAGTGAAATCTTCCTTTCTGGGTGTATGATCAATTCCACTGTTAGGCGCAGGACCCATTTAGTTCAATCCTTCTCAGTTGCCTTCCTCTACTGGCTTTATTACGTTTCATGATTTTTAATCCCCTTCAAGTTTAACACTATCATATAATTTTATCTGCTATTATACATATTTCTGCAATAATTTTCTGAATTTCTGTTTAGTGTCTGGGTCCTGCGTAGTGTCAATCTTTGTTTTTAATTAAAAGGGTCGTGCAATATCTCCTGTTTAATCTCTCATCATGGCTTCCTCAAGCGGAACATCTTCAGGGTCATCTCAGCTTCAGAACTCTGGTTCAGAGGAGGGCTTGCAGGCGATGATGGATCAGAGGAAGAGGAAGAGGATGATATCAAATCGTGAATCGGCAAGGAGATCTCGAATGAGGAAACAGAAGCACTTGGATGATTTGGTTTCACAAGTGGCTCAGCTCAGAAAGGACAATCAAGAGATAAGCTCAAGCATTAACATCACCGCCCAACAGTACACGAGTGTTGAGGCTGATAACTCAGTGCTGAGGGCTCAAGTTGGAGAGTTAAGCCACAGGTTAGAGTCTTTGAATGAGATCATCAAGTTCTTAAATGCTAGCAGTGGGGTTTTTGGAGCTGCAGGTACATCAAGTACTTTCATTGAGCCAACAGATAGCTTCTTCAACCCATTGAATATGGCCTATATGAACCAGCCGATTATGGCTTCTGCAGACATATTGCATTACTGAGAGAAGAGAAGAGAAGAGAAGAGGGATATTGTTGATTTCTTTTATGTTTGAGTCTGTTGAGATTGTAATCACTACTAGATGGGGATAAGGAATAATGAATGTGTATTATAAAGGTGCTGGTGCTATGAATGGGGCCTGTTTAGAGACTAGTATGAATTGAGACATTGGCCACTGATAACTATTATCTTGTCACCTTCTTCTGCTATATTATAATAATATTGACCTAGTTCTCTATGTATGTAATTTTCCCATTCTTTAGTTTCTATCTCTCTTTTTGTCCCTTTTGATTCAATGCTCTTTATAGTTTGTAGTAATCTGGTGAAATTTGTGTTTGTTTGACTAAACTCGAGATGGTAGACAATTTTGCGAATTGCTCTTGAATGATTGTGAAAGTGGATGAAATGGAATTCAATACAATAGTAATGTTCCATTGAACTTGGATGTAGATAATTCATGTATTCTTCCAAGCATGTTTAAATCTGTCTTGTCTCTGTATTGTGGTGTTTTGAATGATTTTTGTACTGGTGTATGCTATTTGATCCAACTGTGAGGTGCATATGCAATTTCACACCAGTCTTGGTTGAAGAAGTGGGTGGTTAGATGAAAAACTAGTACTAGTAATAATAAAAGCTGACAATACCAAAAAAAGAAAAAAGATTTAAGATTTCAAAAATTTACCCTAGGACCTTTTCACAATAATTAGTGTTTTCACCATGTGATCCTGAGATGACAGGTTCCATATGCAAGTTAAGATTTCTCATATTGGTAAGTATTGTTTCCATCCTGACCCGAGATCACATGTTCAAACTACAGACCATTCTGTAAACCCTGTGTTAGGAAACTTTTTTGGGAATGAATTCTCTAATATTAAAAGCTTTACTCGAGAATAATGTAAAGTTTTTACGTCTATCTTTCTTTTTATACATATTAATTGAGTTATATTTACGTTCTATGTACTCCCGAAAATACATATTGTTATACTATATACTTCCAAGAGTATATAGTATAATTTATAAAAATTTATAAAAAAAATTTTGTGAACGAATCATTACCTTATTAATAATATAATTTTTTATATTTATCTCTTTCATATATAAGAAAAGTGTTTATCCTTTTAAATGACACAACTTATATCCTTTCACTCTCACAAAAATGTGAGTCCCACACTTTTATTTTTTTTTTGTCAATTCTCTCTCTTTCTTTATCTATCTCTTTCTCTCTCATAAAATGATACAACTTTACATCCTTTAAAATGACACACACTTTACCCTTCATTATATATATATATATATATATATATATATATATATATATATTAAATAGATGAAATTTAATTATAATTTATTAATATCAATAAAGATAGACATATACACAAATTTTATATGACCGTCTTATGCAAAATTTTAAAATAAGAGGGTCCATTTCCCAATCGTTCTAGCTCGAATCTTATGCCATTAGCCTACCCTATTTTATTTGTGTTGTCTAGAAGCCTCATGTGAGATACATATCGCAAGGAAAAGTCCAAAAATGACCACCAAAAGAAAAGGACAACAAGTGTATAAGAAAGTAGGAATTCCTTTTAATCGGAAAATATACACAAACATGTTTGGGTAGTGTGTGTCTGCTGTATGTCTGGCTCCAACAGAGAACCATTATAGTCCTCAGAACTCTCTTAGCTTATGTTTCAGAGAAGACATTTCAGCTCTACGATTTTTCATTTCCCTAAGTTTGTCTAAGGAAACATTTTCATAATAATAGATGTAAAACGACAACAAAAAATGATGAACGAAAAAAAGTGACAACAAAAACTGAAAGTAAAAGGTTACGACTTTTGAGTTAAAGTTGCCAGACCAAGTTCTTCGAAAGTTATAAAGATACATGTTTTGAGAAAATAAGAGAGATGGGTGCGCTCATGTTGCGAAGGTACAAGCTCCACGTGCGAGGAACAAAGTTTTAGGAGTAACTGAGCAAGTATCTATGGACATGGAATTTAAAGCTCAGAACTGAAGTCATGATTTGCTTATATGTTGTTAAGCTTTGTTCATTTACCTGAATCTTATTAATAGCAAGTGGCATCAAGCATGTGATTATTAGTCATATGGAAGTCGCTAAAATTCAGTTCATACTTTATGAGTTTATGAGATATATGAACACGAAACCTTTTGTAAATTACTTAAGGGGGTGTTTGGTTCAAGTTTTTGGAGAGGATTACCGGTAATCCTTCTTTGGTAAATGTAATTACCACGTTTGGTAGAAGGAATAAATTATGATTCCCGGATATCCAAGGATTACCGGTAATTTGATTTATAAAGAAAAGTCACTATTCAGATTACCAAAAATAATATGGTAATTCGGAATACCAATCAGAATACCAAGTAAAGGGAAAACACAACAATAGATTTTGAGACAAAAATACCCCAATACATATAAAAATCTAGACACAATCTATCAATTACAAAAGTAAAAATAGTTTGGGGTTATTTTTGTAAAATAACCTCATATTCCAAGTCATATTTCGTTCTAAACCAAATATGGAATCAGTAATTTTTACCCAGTATTTCCGGTAATATTTTGGCGAACCAAACACATCTTTCGTAAGATTCCAAGTAAACTCAATTTCTACTGAATTCCCATTAATCATGATTCCCGGTCACCAAAAAATTTCTCCTGTACCAAACACACCCTAATTGTCTAAGCAACAAATCCATAACAAGGCAATGTGTTTATTAACATATGCAAACCAATTTAAAATATGGTAACTGAATTAAAAAATCGATAACTGAATTAATCAAAAATTGAAAAAAAAAAACTCGCATATTTTAATTGAATTAGATCAATTTTCGGTTTAGTTGATGAAAATCGATCAAATCCCATATATTATATATTTATTATTTTTGAAAAATAGTGACTTAGAATCTTGTTATTTTGTAGAATTGGTATAGTGGATGTTATTGATAACAAACTATTATGTTTTAGTTTTTTATTGTCTATTAATTTATTTTAACTCTTCGTGAGTTTTAAGACTTATTTTACTTTGAAGACTTGAATTTTCCAGTGATTTGTAATTTTGTATGGCTTTATTTTAATATAGTTAGTGATTTATGGCTTTAATGTTTCTAAAGTGAATGTAGATAAGTTATCTACATTCACTGCTAAAACGACGTCGTTTTGGGATAAAAATTAAAAAATTATAATGAAAGAGACTATTATAATTCTGAAATAACTTATAATTACAAAAATACTTTGATTTTTGCCTCAAAACGACGTCGTTTTGGGCTCAATGTAGATAAGTTATCTACATTGAATGTAGAAAAAGCGAACCCGTGATTTATATGGCTAAAATTTTAGACTTTTTGAAAAACTAAAAACTGATCTAATCTAAATCGAATAAAATTTGATTGCATTTAAAAAAAATCCAAACAAATGGATGATTAAACGATCAAACTGAATGGATTGGATCTGATATTTTTGCTTTAAAACTGATCCAATCTAAACCGTAAACATCCCTACAACAAGGGATATGATACTATATCTCAACTCAAAATCTTAAGACATTATATTTATATGTCTTTTCACTTGTATGTACCATATTTAGCCCATTTCTTTCTGATACGACTTTTTATCACTCGCATTTGAATTTTCAATAATTTATTGTTTTATTTACGTACTTTTGAAGTGAAACTTCTAAAAAAGGTGTAGCAAGAAGTCTAATTTTAACTAGAAAATTGTGTTAATTAATATAATATCTACTTCACAAAACGCCAATGAAGGTTGGCTTCGGAGAAAACAATCTCGATTCAAATGCCTTTAAGTTAAAAGGGTTTAGCTTTTCTTATCTTGTAGGATTGTAGGAGAAAAAAAAAAGTAGAGAGAAATTAAATATGGGTCATATATTTTATATTAAAAAAGAAAAGAAAAATTATTTGGTACGAAAAATGAATTTGTGTAGAAAAATGAGAGTATCTCATGTGACATGAAAGTATTATTTCACTAAGTTAAAATGTTAAATTAGACTCGTACTAAAAAATTTTCTTTGGTAGCTCATGTTGAGAGTGAGACATATTGCATAAATTTAAAATAAATAATATTAATGTTTTACTCTTTATTTAGCATTGCTCGGGTGTTTTACATATTTGTTTTAAAAAAAGGATGAGAGAGTTTCATGCAATAACAGCAAAGGCTGCTTAGTGCTTACTTCTAGCCCGTTTGTTTGCATTTTATATCTTCCCTTATTTTAATAGTCTTTTTTACAAAAGTTAAAGTTATTTATATTTTTATAAAAATATTTAAATTTTGAAAAAAATATTTGACTTTTAATTTCTGTTTTTTTTAGAAGTTAAAATTTTTAGCTTAAAAAAAAAAAAGTAGATTTTTAACTTTTTTTGTGATTTCTGCTTTTTTTAAAAGTAGACATTTACACGAACTAAAAATGAAAAATGCTTTTTTCAAAAAAAAAAAAAAAAAAAAAAAGCAACAGAGACATAATGCCTAAGAAAAAGTTGGCACGCCATCTTCTAGTTATGACGTCGTTTTTGTTCGAAGCATACAAGATTATAGTTCTTAACAGCTAAATAGCAATATAGTTCTTAAGTGGGATAAAAAATAGCTTATGTAGACGAAATTTTTTATACTTTTTTAACAAACTGTTTTTTATTTTCATATTGGCTTCTAAAAATCTCATTTTTCTTTATTATTCCGTTTTGTTCAGGTTTTTTTTTTTTTTTTGGGTGCTTCTCGCAATCATATAATTTTTTTTTATAGCCGCAATCATATATTTTTATAAAATATGAGAAAAGTGTTTGTCATTTTAAGAGAGATGAACACAGAATAATTTTTTTATTTAAATTTTAAATTAAAAAAAATCACTCACTTTCTCTCTTCCATGATTTTTATTTTCTGTGTCTATTTCTCTCCTAAAATGACATAACTTATATCATTTAAAATGACAAACATCAAGCCAATAAAATATTGTTTTTGACAATGACAGGGTAATATTCAAATTTTTCTTCTGAGAATATCGAAATAATTACAATACTTAATTCGTTAATTAAACTAATTAACACCTTTTGAACAGAATTCTTATGAGATTAGTGGAAGGTAGCTATAAAGCACTCTAATGCGCAAAGGAAGAATGAGTGTGAAATTAAAAAGAGATGATTCTTACTAGGGATGTAAATATATTAGGTTAGGCTAAATTTTGACTTAAATAATTTAGGTGTGTGTAAAATACCTTATGAT